TGCCCTCAGGTGGTCCACCAGTGGGGCCGGAACCCAGGTGCCCTCATGAGGTCCACTAGTGGGGCCGTAACCCAACTACCCTCAGGTGGTCCACCAGTGGGGCCGGAACCCAGGGGCCCTCTGGAAGACCACCAGTGGGGCCAGGTGCCCTCAGGAGGCCCAGCAGTGGGGCCAGAACCCAGGTGCCCTCAGGGCGTCTACCAGTGGGGCCTTAACCAAGGTGCCCTCAGGAAGTCCACCAGGGGAGCCGTAACCCAGGTGCCCCCAAGTGGTTACCAGTGGGGCAGGAACCCAGGGGCACTCAGGAAATCCACCAGTGAGGCCAGAACCCAGGAGCCCTCAGGTGGTCCACCAGTAGTTCCAGAACCCAGGGGCCCTCTGGAAGACCACCAGTGGGGCCAGGTACCCCCAGGAGGCCCAGCAGTGGGGCCAGAATCCAGGTGCCCTCAGCAAGTCCACCAGTGGAGCCGTAACCCAGGTGCCCTCAAGTGGTTACCAGTGGGGCAGGAACCCAGAGGCACTCAGGAAGTCCACTAGTGGTGCTGTAACCCAGCTGCCCTCAGGTGGTCCACCAGTGGGGCCGGAACCCAGGGGCCCTCGGGAAGTCCAGCAGTGGTTCCAGAACCCAGGGGCCCTCTGGAAGACCACTAGTGGGGCCAGGTGCCCTCAGGAGGCCCAGCAGTGGGGCCAGAACCCAGCTGCACTCAGGTGGTCCAACAGTGGGGCCAGAACCCAGGTGCCCTCAGGAAGTCCACCAGTGGGGCCAGAAACCAGGTGCCCTCAGGAAGTCCACCAGTGGGGCCAGAAACCAGGTGCCCTCAGGAAGTCCACCAGTGGGGCCAGAAACCAGGTGCCCTCAGGAAGTCCACCAGTGGGGCCAGAAACCAGGTGCCCTCAGGAAGTCCACCAGTGGGGCCAGAAACCAGGTGCCCTCAGGAAGTCCACCAGTGGGGCCAGAAACCAGGTGCCCTCAGGAAGTCCACCAGTGGGGCCAGAAACCAGGTGCCCTCAGGAAGTCCACCAGTGGGGCCAGAAACCAGGTGCCCTCAGGAAGTCCACCAGTGGGGCCAGAACAGGTGCCCTCAGGAAGTCCACCAGTGGGGCCGGAACCCAGGGGCCCTCATGAGGTCCACCAGTGGGGCCAGGTGCCCTCAGGTGGTCCACCAGTGGGGCCGGAAAACAAGTGCCCTCAGGATGTCCACCAGTGGAGCCAGAACCCAGGTGCCCTCATGAGGTCCACTAGTGGGGCCGTAACCCAACTATCCTCAGGTGGTCCACCAGTGGGGCCGGAACCCAGGGGCCCTCTGGAAGACCACCAGTGGGGCCAGGTGCCCTCAGGAGGCCCAGCAGTGGGGCCAGAACCCAGGTGCCCTCAGGAAGTCCACCAGTGGAGCTGTAACCCAGGTGCCCTCAAGTGGTCCACCAGTGGGGCCGTAACCCAGCTGCCCTCAGGTGGTCCACCAGTGGGGCTGGAACCCAGGTGCCCTCAGGAAGTCCACCAGTGGTTCCAGAACCCAGGGGCCCTCAGGTGGTCCACCAGTGGTTCCAGAATCCAGGGGCCCTCTGGAAGACGACCAGTGGGGCCAGAACCCAGGTGCCCTCAGGGCGTCTACCAGTGGGGCCTTAACCAAGGTGCCCTCAGGAAGTCCACCAGGGGAGCCGTAACCCAGGTGCCCCCAAGTGGTTACCAGTGGGGCAGGAACCCAGGGGCACTCAGGAAATCCACCAGTGAGGCCAGAACCCAGGAGCCCTCAGGTGGTCCACCAGTAGTTCCAGAACCCAGGGGCCCTCTGGAAGACCACCAGTGGGGCCAGGTGCCCTCAGGAGGCCCAGCAGTGGGGCCAGAACCCAGGTGCCCTCAGGGCGTCTACCAGTGGGGCCTTAACCAAGGTGCCCTCAGGAAGTCCACCAGGGGAGCCGTAACCCAGGTGCCCCCAAGTGGTTACCAGTGGGGCAGGAACCCAGGGGCACTCAGGAAATCCACCAGTGAGGCCAGAACCCAGGAGCCCTCAGGTGGTCCACCAGTAGTTCCAGAACCCAGGGGCCCTCTGGAAGACCACCAGTGGGGCCAGGTGCCCTCAGGAGGCCCAGCAGTGGGGCCAGAA